GTAAGTGAATCAGTCTTCCTTACCAGAATCAAACCGAAAGCTCTCAGCTTTGCACTGAGTTGAGACTCCTTTGAGAGGGTGGGGGAGGTGAGAGGCTGAACCAAAAGGCCAGGCTTGTGTCCCTTGGTTTTATGTTTCCCGATGTCTCTGTCTTTTCATCTCTTGGTCATCCCCGCACATATTCTGAGAGGAGCAGTGTTCTAGCACCATTCCTGCCCCATTCTCCCCTCAAATTGTGCCTAAAACCATAGGCCACACATAGAAACAAATCCTTCCCTTTGTTCCCCGGCAAACTGGAGTCATACTAGAATTTTCCCAAAAGACTTTATTAAAATGCTTAGAAAGAACAAAAAGGGAGTAAACAAAAACAAATCAAGACTCGTAGATAACATAGTCAGTTCCAGGGCTGACCAACCCTGGTCCATGTTTCTGAGGAAGCAGCTTTCTTTTGGGAGCAAAAGCGGGGTTCCGCCTTCCCTCGGCCTCCCCTGAGTGTTTGCTTCCTGGCCTGGGGCAGTTCCCCTGTGTGCTTGCCTTTAACTTTCCAGTCTAAGAAGGCTGTGGTTTCTTAGACATCGTGATTCCTTTACTTCTAACACTGAGAAAGGGATTCTAGCCCCTCACTTAGATCTCCACCTGTACCCCTATTAGGGCTAAGTGGCAAGCTTTTCCCTACAGGAAACCCCCGGGCCTTGTGAATGATCCCACATCAAGCTAGATCGCCCCCGGATCAGGTTTCTTTGATCTCCAGGCCTTTTAATGCTCATGTTCATTTATATTTGAGAGCTTAGTAAGTAATATCCCAAGAAGTTATAGTTTGCACTTGGAACTTTGGGTTAAGAATCATCTTCCCCATTATCTAATGAATGAATTAAAAAAGCACTAAAATGCAGAGAGATTCTTTTACCAGGCACAAGCAGGAACAAAGGAGCATAATCTAAAACGCAAGTAGCAACCAAGTAAAGAAATTGAAGATTATGGGTCAGGATAGAATAGCACACCACGGCAATGCTTCACATGCCACCATCACCCCTTTAGAGTGAGTCGCTAAATACCAAGAGTTTTCAATAATATGCCCATATCTGGAGAGATGCAAATTGTGTGGGTGTCCTATTCTTTACTCTGTTCTGAAAATCAAGAGAGGAAATGGTTACAGAGGAGAATTAAGGGAAACAGACAAACTGAACAGTGGCCAGACTCTGGTAGAAACACAGGTTGCTGGGCTGCAAACTGGACTTAGGGGCATATCTACAATCCAAAGATACCCCCCTTTATGGAAATGGGAAACACTCCAATTAGCTAGAGTGAACCCTGGCAGTGGAAAATGGCAAAATATCAGAAGAGAGTGTAAAGTTCAGATAGTCTAACAAAATGTAGCACAGCATCACCTGAGTTCTCTCCCTTTGTCAAATGCTGAGAACAACCAAGTGTTTAGAACATAACATACCATAAAACTAGTTTTTCAGAAAAAAAATCTCAAGGACAGTGGTATGGTGGTCAAGATGAAAATAGACTTATAGCAGTTATGCAAATACTACATAGTTAACAAAATAAATAATGAAATTAAGGAGTATATGATAGCATGTAGACAACAAATAACCTACTCTCGAAGAAAACATAACTCAAGGAACAGATGAAAATTTCCCAACAAGTGCTTTGAGCTGGAGAACCACCGAACGAGAACTAGATTCAGTGAAACAAGTCTCAAAGTTAAGATAATAAGATACTGGAATGAGATGAAAAGGCAGATTTCTCCAAGGAAATAAATTGAAGGCTAAATAATTTGAATATGAGGAAAGGCTCCAGGCTTTCTCTTTATTTTTGTAAGCATCTATTTGTGTATTTCTGCTAATGGCGAGCACACCAAGTATATTTGCATGCACACTCTAAGTAAACGTACTGTATTGGGCTCTGCAAGCTGCTTCCTTCCTCTCTGTCCTCTATCCTAGGGGGTGTTCATGTCTGGGAGGAGGTGGGATTTCACTCTTTCCCCTGGTAAACTTCTCAGTCTCTTCCGTCACCTGCTTACCCAATAAGAGCAAGGAAGACTATAAGAAAGATTGCCGGTTAGTTATACAAATGCTCAGCTTAAACCTCTGAGATGGACCCAGATCAGGCCATTTACTGCTATGAAGGTAATGAAGACATGAGGGCCGTATTTGGAAAGCAGTGGGAAGGTCAAGGCAAGCGAGGGATGAATGATGTCAAAATGCACGTGGGAAAGGGAAGGAAAGAAAAGGGAAGGGGAGGGGAGGGGAAGGGAGGGAAGCAAAGGGGGTTCTAGTCAGAGAATAGATTATTGTGATTTAAGAGTTCATGGTTAGCACTACCTGGAATGATGGCAAACTCCAACTTCAGATCATGGAAATAATTTGCTTTAAAGTAAGGTGAAGAATCAAAATTTCTCTGGGTGGTGGAATTTCAGTTGACTTTTATTTTTTATGTATTTCTTATATTGAACTTGTTTCACTTTTACATAAAGATAATAATCCTGTTTTAATTTTGGAGAAAAAATAAGCAGGAATGAAAAGAAGGAAAATATCAGGACTTGGTGGAAAGAAACAAGGCTGTGGACTTGATATTCATCAGAATGTTTTTAGATTCAGTGTAAGAAACCAAGATTATACATATAAGAGAAATGTGCTTTTGTCTAACTTGAGTGAAATAAGAGAAGAGTAGAAGTGCAGTGAATGTCAGAAATGAGTGACTCACCACCGGCCCCCTATTTCTTCTTCTGTTTTCTCTTCTTTGCCTATCAACTTCATTCTCTCCTACTAGCTTCTTCCTCAGAACTTCTTTCATGGCCACTGGCAGCTCCCTCGCCCACATCCTCTCAGTTTTCCAAGCAAAGAGAAGTTCCCCACTATTCCTTAACCCTCAAGTTCCAATTTCTAAATCATGGGGGGAACATTCTGATTGGTCTGACGTGATCGTATTCCCTCCCCCTGGACCAATGAGTGTGGTCTGGGATTAGCCCAATTTAATTCAGGTGCTGCAGCCTTGGCTGCCTGGCTGCTATCAGGGAGCCTGTGTAGGAGAGGGCAGTTACCCATCCGACTATGTGTTTAGAACTGAGGACGGAGCAGTTCTGCAAAGGAAGGATGGGTTATATTTCCCAGGAGAAGGAAGAGGTGCTTGTGGACAAAACAGTAGGGATCTTGGACACAAATCCATACTCTTTCATATTAGCAAGTGAACTTCAATGTGTTATCTGACTTTTCTGAGGTCAGTTTCTTTATCAGTAAAGTGGGGATAGTAATAACCACCTTTGAGGATTGTGAATCTTAGCTATAATTGTTTACAAAAAAGCGTTTATGTTTATAAATTGCTGAATAAGGATTTCATATAACCAGCCGGTGAAGGCCAGCTTAGCTTCCCATTAGGCCAGGTTTCTGGCTATGGCTGCTCAGAAAGGGTGAGCATTTTTCTAAGCGGTTCTTTCAGAGGTGTATCTTTTCCACGTTCACGCAGAGATGCCCTGTATCTTCAACTAAGGCTAGCAGCAGCCCTATGTCTTCTCTAATGTGTTCAAATGTATAAAAGTTGAGTAAAAACCCTGTTGATACAACATACCTGATGACATGATGTGATGAGGAGGGAACTTCACCTCTGCAGTGTTCTCCCCTAAACTCCATCTCCAGTCTAATTATGAGAAAAACATCAGACAAACCCAAACTGAGGGACAGGATACAAAATATTTTGGCCCGTACTCCTCACAACTGTCCAGGTCATGAAACACAAGGAAAGGCTGAGGAACTGCCGCTGATCAGAGGAGACGTGATGACTACACGCGCTGTGGTATTCTGGATCTTGGAACAGAAAAAGAACATTAGTGTAATAACTGATGAAATCCCAATAAAATCTGGAGCTTAGTTAAAAGTAATAATGTCTCAGTGTGGGTTTCTTAGTTTTGATAAGTGTGTTATGGTAACGGAGGGTGTTAGCAATGGGGTAACTGGGTGAAGAGTTTACAGGAACTCCCTGTGTAATCTTTGCAATTTTTCTGTAAATCTGAAATTATTCAAAAACAAAAACTTAAGCTAACAACAATAACAAAAACATCTGTGGGAAGCAAGTAGAATTTGGAGAATGGTGGCTGTCATGTGCCTTTTGTTTTCCAGTCTTGCCCTCTGAAGGAAGCCTGAAGCCAGCTGTCCCCAAATAGCTGAAACAGTAGACTCTTTCCCATGTACCTTGCCTTTTCCTCCACTCAGCTTTTCCCCTTAGGAACGTCAAGGGTACTTTTGGGCAGGAGGAAGTAATATTCAATAGGACTTCATTTGAAAAACTATTGTAAGTTTTTTTTTCCCCCAGCCAAATCAGATCTGTATCCAATCAATTTGAAATTAAATAGGATGGTCTGACTTTTCCCAGAGATCCTGTGAACCCTGTCCCCAAAATACCAGAGAGAGTGACTTCATTGTTATTGTATCACAAGACAACTAGGGTATTAATTTCAGGCCCTACTTACTTTACAGAGATGCTGGAGTAATAAACAGAGTCATCAAACTGCTTTTTTCCAAACCCATATTTTATATTCTAGAACTTTCCAATATAAATTATATTGTTTATTTTTCCACAAAACAAGAAATAATTTTTTTTAATATTTAAAGGACTAGCCAACTAGGTATATCTTGGAAAGACCATGCTGAATAACAAAGGAATTTCTAAAAGTGATTTTTAAAGTATGATGTTTTAAATATACAGTGATATTGCCAATTTATTTTACCTTATTGTTTTTCAGAAGTCATTTTTTACAAATTACTTAGCTAATCAAAGTTGGATGATGCCATTTTGTATTTTTCCAAGTAACAGGAGAAAATAAGAAAGTTAGGATTTAAATAGTACCAATGGGAAAAGTTTTCTAGATACATGAAAATAATGAAGTAAAATCCTGGGGTATGGATGAATATGCCATGAAACAAATGACTAAATGAAATGAACAATACATAGACTTTGTATTTACATATTTATACTTAATTTTTTTTTTTAGGATGTGCGTTAAAGAGAAATTGTCAATCGTGCATAGAAAATAAAACAGTAAGTTAACTTTCATATGAGGAAATTGTCTTGGGAATGTTATAAAGTCACACAATTTATAGCTGTAATCTAAAATATATGGAAAACTTTGTTTTACACAATTTTTTATAATAAGGATGACTAATAGCAGTTAAGATGTACTTCTGAATTTTAAACCATTCTTCAAGGATCTAGAAATAAACAATGGAAATAATTTAGTACAAATATGTACTTCCGTCTAGGAAATTATACTCTAAAAACACAACAATTTTTGCATGATAAAAGTTTGTACTGACTTTGGGAAATTTTTTTTCTAAGATAAGGAAAAGGTAAGCCTTTTGAGATACAGTGAAAATTTCCTTGCTACTCTGTTCTCCAAAGACTAGAAAGGATGACACACTGTGCCTTAACCACAATGTAGCTAAGATCCCCTTCTCTAATTATTAGGCATCTGACATCATTATTCTTCACTTCAAGTTTGGAAGAAAGCAGAAATGTCACAGTAGTGAGGGCAATGGTGCTACAAAGCGCTTTGCAGCAACCCTAACTCTAACAAGTATTGGAGAACTGACAATTAACACCAAAAACAGAGAGACACGAAATCACTAATTAAAAAAGGGTACACTCTAGTAATTGGTATCTGTCATCGTGGTCTGGGTGTACCACCTGTGCCCCTATTTATCTTCATTTAGGCCATTCCTCTGCTTTAACATAGCCCTGGGCTCAGGGCTTTTGGATTTCTCCATCCAATTCCTGCCATAGCCTTATGTGCTTTCCATACCTGCTGATGGCCCAGACACACTTGGTCCTGCAGTGTCCTGACTTCCTCAGTTCTGTGCCTTAGGAAGTTACTTCCAGGGCCACATCTGAATCCTGCATGATCTACAGTGGCTCTTGCATTCTCATTTCCTTACACTGTCCTTACTTTCTGGTCTCAACAAGACAACACCATCCTCTAGTTCTTTAATTTCTCATGTTTCCTTTAATTTATTGGTCCTCATATGGACTCCCTTCCCTCCTGTGAATTCTCATGGCTGTTCACTTGAATGGACACCTTTCTTTATGTGTTACAATGGAAATTTTCATACAGAGGAAACAGTATAATAAAAATGTATACCCTCAATATCCATCTTGGCCAGTCTTATTTCATGTGTGCCCCTTTTCCAAGATGGATTTTTGTTCTGTTAGCTCATTTATTCTGTTCTTTGGATTCCACATATAAGTAAGATCACATGGTATTTGTCTTTCTCAGTCTGACTTACAAAATGGATTATTTTAAAGCAAATAATGATATGGATACCATAGCATTTTATTTGCAAATATCTATATCTATCTATCTATCTATCTATCTATCTATCTATCTATCTATCTATCTATCTATCATCTATCAATCATTATCATTTATCTATCTACATCTAGTGATCATATATTATATATAGATAATAAAGACTTTGCTTTAAAATATTACAAGTC